CAAACTTTGAAGGACTGTAATCATGTGTACATTATAAATGTATATAGTAATAAAAAAGTAAGCGATGGTTGTCTTTTTTAATTTATTATTCAGAGAGATTAATACGGTTTGTATGATTATGTTAAAATTATATACCAATCAATATCATTTTCATACGGAGAATTATAAACTTAATTTATTGTATATTATTCATTGCATAAAATAGCAATAAAATGTAGAAATCATCGTGTCTTTATAGCGTATTTATAATATTCACTAGCTTGGAATGAATTTATTTTTATGAAATGAATTATTATTTATTATAATATTTTATAACAAATTATATATTTGTTCAAATCAATTAACGAATACTAATTGATCATTTTTATTTAATAATCATAAATGCTTTAATGCAGTTAGAAAGTATATGAATATATATCTCAAGAACGATCTAAAAATAAATTTTCAATGTTTTACAATCAATTGCCTTATATGAATATATATATATATATGTATATATATATATATATATATATATATATATGAGGTTATATTGTTAAATATAAATAATTAATCTTAATGTAATCCTAAGTACAAATGATGTAGATTTCATATTTACATTAACATAAAATTGTGTATAACTATTGTGAAAATTAATAATATACTGCGTAATTAATTTCATCATACTTTTGATATAATATTTAAACTATAATTAATGAAATTTGTTTATTATTTGAGAATTATTTTAAATTCTATTTGATATAGAAAATAAAATTTTCATTATAAACTGCTCAGTAAGTGTGACTTATTTCATTTTGCTGCTATCCAAAGTATAATATAAAAATTAAATTTTTTAATTAATCACTTACATATATGTGTTTTACAATGAATGTAAAGCAATAATTAATTAATTCTAAAACCATGTAAAATATTAATAATTATTTCTTCTTAAAGTAATTTTCACATTATTAGATTTTTATGGTAATGCAAAAAATTAAAAATTACATCTAATTTAGAATATTTATTATTGATATGAGACAAAAACTTATATGACCATTATTTTCATAAAAAACAATTTTTGTTTCTAAAATTCTATACTTTTAATTGTTAATTTTGAATTCTTTAAACGTTCTTGGCCTATTTTTCAAAACAATTCTTTAATTTGACATAACGACATTTCAATTTTATCGCAAAATCAAACAATAAATGAAAATCCTTGAATATGCATAAACATATCGTTTATGTGCGTTCTTCTGTTTTTCGAAGAACAAAATATAAGAAATTTTCTAAATTAATAATAACTAACATTATATTCAAATAATAAGTCCATAGATTTACTAAATACAAGTTTATATCTATTTAATGCAATAGTGACTATAATATTACTGAAAATATTTCTGAGAAAGTTTATTTCTTGATTTTTCCTATTTTACTGTAACATATTCCAATGCCTATGTGGATTCAGCATAGGAATTCATATATATAATTTGTGAGGCAATTTATTTTATTCGTGGTGAATGCAATAATTATTCAATAATAGCAAAATTCCAGAACCGAATATCATGTAAATCATGAAAATATACGTTGGCGCTAATATTAAAAAAACCTTTTACCTTCGTTGTCTATAAAATTGTTTAAGGTGCGGTCGCGCAAGTTTATTTTAATTTATCGATAATTTCAATACTTATATTAGATTTAAAGGATTTTTGTGTTGAAATTTCAAGATTTTTTATTTTATTGTGAGATTAAAATAACTTTATTTGCGTTAATGAATACCTGCTTGAAATGTATTTGTGTGTCTATTCTCTCCATTAGCGGCGACGATAAAAGTTAATTGCTTTATCCTGCTCCAACGTGAATTATATTGCGATAGAAAAATATTCTCTATTAATATATTTCGTAGATAATTTTTAATTGTTCAACGAGACAGTTTTGAGAGTCTAAATAATAATAAGTATCAATAATTCATATGTATGAATTTTAACAAATTGTAATTATTTTCAACTAACAATAAGATATGTGAAATTACGTTCAGTGTTCACAAATCTATATTAATAAGTTTTGAAAATTATTATTCAAAATAATATATAAAAAATCATTCTGAACTAAGATATTTGTTTGAAATTAAGATTTATGTAAAAAGTTATTGTAATATAAGGATAATAAAAAGGATATTAATAGAAAATAACACACATATATATATATATATATATATATATATATATTTGTATTAAAATAAGTTATATAATAATATTGATATTGTAATAAAAAAAATATTATTTTACTATTATGTTTTGAATAATCTAAATAATAATATTTCAATATACGTGTACGCATATGTGGCTGCGCATGCGCATTATAATTTTTAATAACTTATTTTATTGCAACTGTGTAGGCACATCTTCTCTTACCCACATAATGTATTTGCTTAAACTTGAAATTAATGTGGATTTGTATTTACCACTATATTTTGAATATTGTGTTTACTTTAATTTTAATTTTTATTTTATAATTTATATACGAAATTTCAACTCTGAATATATAAATATGATTTACAGTTGATCGATTTGTAATAAACAAGCAGAAGAAAAATTATTAAATAAGATTTTCATCTACTTAAATGAAGATTTATTAAAACAAAATCTATTTATTTTCAACCAAATATGACTGTTAAATTCAAATTTCCAATTTTCATAATAATCCTTTATTAAAATATATATGTATATATTTCTTTCCTTAATTTACAATTAACGAACAATTTTTTTTAAAGGAGTTTATACAATTTTTTATTTAAGTGAGAAATTTGAACATTTTGTTGTTGATTTTCAAAGTGTAATTTTTTGAAATATGTATTCAAAAATTTGATGATTTTAATTTATACAGATATGGAAAGCATTTTCCGCGTTCATTTAGCATATTTCTATCTACTACAGATATTTAAAAATATCTATTTATTATTTATATTAATTGCGTTAGAGTAATATTTATGTACATTTATCACGAGGTACACTTACATCTATGAGCATGAGGTTTGCAACATTGTGCTGTGTATTAAAGAGGACAGCCCTATAATATGCAGCTATGTTATAATAATTATGATAATGAGCATTGCTTTTGAAATAAATTTCCATAAAAGTAATTATTTTAAAATAATCAATAATAATCATTGCGCAGCAATGCACTAACTCCATAACTATCGCTTTTGACCCAACAAAAAAAAAGAGCTTTATTATCCTATTATTTCAATAGCTTTAGTGGCATAGTTTTGCTAATATAATCGTAAACTCTTTGGATATTAACATTTTAAAAATTGTGAATAGGAACTATTTAAATATTTTACATAACTTAATGCCCAAATAAATGCAACATTAAATTAATAAAATATTATTATAAATTAAATGTTGAAAATAGTATATTCTGTTAAATATGTAAATGAGGAACTTGTTTGATGAAAGTTAATAAGAGCGAATATACAATTTTATAAGAAAATAAATCATATAGTATACACATCAATACATCATATTTTGATTTTCTTCAAATAATAAATTATATATTACGTGTATTCGTTTAATATATAATTTTTTAAATATGTCGATGTAATTTTTTGACAATTAAAAATTTATTCACGGTTAGTATATTAATCGAATATTTTTAATCCAATATATTAATTTATATGAAATCATAATCAATTTTCAATAAAAAATTGTTTTTTTCTTAAACTCTTATACGTTCTGAATTATTTATATTGAAAAAATGATTATTAATGATAATATATTAATTCAACGAAAGACGGTGCATTAATTTTATTATGAGAAGTAATATATTAGATTAAACTGTGTATTATTATCGAATACATAAGAGATAAAACAAATATATAATAAGCGATTAAAAAGAATTAGTATAAATCCCATATATATTTACTTTGAATATTCTTCGCTATATTGCATATATTGTTTTATAGATTGCAATAATTAAATATCTATTTTACAAACGTGAATAGCTACATTGACATAACTTTCGAAAATCAAATTTAATCTTTTTAAAACTAATAATAATGAAGTTATTAATTTGTCATATGCCATATAATAATTATAAAGTTACAATGCATAATACACAACAAATAATTTATTAGTTAATTGTTTACGATTGTTAAATTATGCTATTACTTATATAAAATAATATAATTTGAGTATAATAAAATAAAATGTAGTTCAAATAAAATATAAATAGTTGATATTAAATAATATCATTTAAATACTTGAATTTATGAGTGAAATAAGTTATAAATATTTTGATTAATTTTAAAATGTAATTGCCTCGTACAAAATTTATGTTTGTATTCGTCTTATTAATTTCTACGTATCAATCAGGGTGGTTAAGAATTTTCATATATTAAATATTAAAAAAAAAACTTTTTATATTTATTTATTATTTAATCTTTATTTATTATTTAATTAAAATTAAATATAGTATAATAATATTTACGTAGATAATTAAAAGTTTTTGTTGTATAAAAATAATACTTAATCTCTAAATGATGATTGTATAAATATTTTTTCTTTAGCTTATTTCAGTTCATACTTGGATAAGGCTAAATCCATATAAAATAATGTTTTAATTTTTTTATATAAATTTTCTTTACACAATAAGACGTATTGTATATCCTTTATTTGGATGAATGTCGAGCGCTGCTTGCATCAGTATAAAAATTATAAAATTACATTAGGTTTTCAGTCAATTACATAATACAAAATGTCTATAAATAATTTATATAGGCCTTGCATTCGAGCACATTGTTATCTATTCTTCTATTGATTATACGTATCGCGAACAATCATCTGTCACTCTTCTTAGATACACGAATTCATATCATTAAGATATGACAGTATGGGAATTATTGTCCATTAGTGCCGAAAAACTATGACGTATATACATTTTCTAAAACACTCAAACATCCTAGCTCGAATAATTATAAACGACGCATTAAATCCCTTGTTTCAAGTATAATTCTATATTTTCAGTACTGAGTGAGGGTGAGTCCGACGGGGGTGTAGACGTGAATGGCACAGCCACCACCTCAAAGGTCAGCAGGTGTGGAGCGAATTTCTGCATCATTGGTAATGGTGGACATGAAAGCCTGAATAGGCCCCCGGAGTCCGAAATCTACGAAATATCAGCGATCTATCTTACATGCGTCCTTGTTGCGGTCCTTATCGTCGCCCTATTCGTTGATCCGCTTTCGAGGTAAGTGATCCTGTAAAATAACGATACAGCTTCTATGAATATTAGTAATTTATACAGTGTCAATCAATTAATCAATAATGTAATGTGATAATACACTAATACAATATTATCATATTGATCATTCAATATATTAACAAATTCTGGTATATAATAGAGAATTTCTAAATAATATTACATCATTTAAAACTTATATAATTAATGCTCGTTTATAATGAATTCAATATTATATTTATATTAGGATATAATTTAATATATACATATATAGTATTAAATTCAATAGTATTATAATTAATAGTATTATAATACTTTTACTTAGTAAAACTTTACATCTCGTGATGTTTCAAAAAATTATTTAACTATATTCTTACAATATATAACATTTTATATATATCTGGAAATGGATTCTAAAACTGAAACAAAACTTGAAAAATTCACGTTTAATATTAAGTGATTTTTTAAATATTTGATTATTTCGATTTTCAATAAGGCATAAAAAAGCGATTGCGATTCAAAAAATTCGAAAATTAAACGTATCCTAAATTCTATATAAGTTCTTCTTCAAAAGGTATAGGCATCTCGAATACTTCAATAGTATAAAAATATCAACAACAACAACAACAACAACAACAACAACAAATATCTAATAATTTTATTTAAATCACCGTAGTCATTATTATTATACTATCTCCGTATTTAACTCACACTATGTAATTATATTATTTATTCATAAATATATTATTCTGACATATTGTTATTTATATCACCTGTACTTACATTAAAATTTTAATAGATACTTTTTTACTAAAGCTCTTCTCGTGTAATTTTCTAATTTAATTCTTCAATGCTTGTGCGACTTCGTATTTAAAATAAAAAAAAAAAAAAATTATAAAAATCTATACAAATATCACAATTCAAAATGTTTCTTTTATCTTATGCATAAGCACCAATTTAAAATAATTTTTTACATTAATATACGAATTAAATATGTACATAAGTAACTGTTATTAATAATATTGAGATTGCTATTATATTTATAATAATACATTTCGGAGAATTTTTAAGGATAAAAAGTATCCTGTAATACTTTTATTATTAATTAGAAAAACATACACGAAGCTTAAATAAAGTAATTATTAAACTTTATAAAGAGATTCGTTAAAGTTATTTTGAGTTAAAATTCTTACATCATTGAGATAAATAAATATTTATAGTTTACAATTGTACCATCATTCTGAGTATGAATAGTTAATTTTTTCTAAATTCTACTTTCACTTTTACACGCTTTAAAAAATGTTTACATCAACTTTGCTATTATAAACTAGTTTGTCTGTACAAAGAATTAACGTTAAAAGAATTGAGTTACTGATTCATTAAAATAATAATGAAATTTATGAAATTATATTGATGCTTCACAAATTGATAATTGTATCGAGCATTACTTTTATAAACTAAAATTCAATAATAATTGGTTATTTATTATATTTACCTTTGTTCGTGGTAGAAATCAGTTTTAACTGAAAATTAATATTATAATTAATTATAAATTAATTTTTAATTTAATATGACATTAAAAGCCTTTAATTATCATTTTATTACTAAATCTATAAATATATATGAGAAAAAATAATTCTTAAATAATAACTCGTCGAGTTATTAATGTAAAGTTTTATCGATTAATAAATCTCACGTGTTCTTTATTTATGGTAAATTTTTATATTAATAATTGTTGATGCCAGGAATAATAATGTCTAAATTATTTTTTCGTAAAATAGGTAATATTAACATTTTATTTGTACTTCATTAAAAAATCATAATTACATTATATACACTCAATTTTGTGGAATTTTATTAAATATTTTTATATCTCGATTGGCTGTAATTATAGCTGTATTTAATTATTTTGCAAAATAGATTCTTAAAGTGGCAGCCTAATTCGTTTCTTACTAATGAAAATTAAATTATGCAATTAATCGACGATGAGACGAGGTGATTTATTGTTCGCTTGCTCATCAATACGAAAAATCATTCTATTAAATAAATATTCCATTAAATATTCCTTTAAATCGAATGCCAAGATCTTTCGAAACTAACTTTGTTAAGAAAAATTAATTAAGATAAATTAATTCTCACGTACTTTTACATTCTTCCTCTTGTCCGAAAAATATCTCATTAAATAATATAGCTCTCCGTATTACCTCTCTTAACGGCTAATCGTAATCTCTAATCCAGCAGTTCATAATTCGTAGCGTAAAAGTGACGTAATTCCCGGGCACACAGTTGCCGTCGTTTACGACGACTCTTATACTTCGTAGCACTCGGGGAGCAAACGAATAACACAACGGATGATCGCTTCCCTAATGACCGTCTCATAAAGTTAGCGAACATTCTCGAGACGAAGGCATTCGTCGACGTCGAATTTAATGTACGCGTATTCAGGGAACTTTTTCTCTTGTCTCCTCTCCTTAATTAGTTTTTATCACTACTGTTGGACTTAATTAAAGACAATAAATATACTAGGGAGAATCGTGTTTCGAAAGCTTAAGGCTACTAATGCTTTACAATCTGTGAATAAGAAATATTTTTAAATCAACGGGATGAATATCCGTTTGGGGGGACTACGTATATTTTGCAATATTTAACGTATCGTGCATTCCCCCATACGCTAAACTGAATATTTAAGGATAATAGCGATGTTGAATATTATATAGTAATATTCAAATATTATATACCCATTTCCACACGTGTCATTGTATTAGTTAAAAAGACAATTTTTAGTTACGTCGAAATAATTTTCCACATCATGCTCAGAGTTTTTTTTTTATCTCGTTTTATGAAAATTTGAAACAATAGTAACGAAAGTAAATAAGCATTTATCTCTGATTATATTTATATTTAGTTATATTTATATTCATATATATTTTTTTGTATTTATACCACTCATGCCTAATTTCGTTGTACAATGTTTAAATTTAAATATCCTTCGTAACGTTAATTCACTATGATTTATACGCTATGTTAATTTCACATATTTATAGATTTATAATACAGAGTACATTAATTATTTATTTTAACGGACAATTACTCGTCAGTTATTTTTCAGTCATGGCATGCAATCTACTGTAATATAAAAACTTAAAGCTGCTCTAAGTGAGCATGAAAAAAAATCTAATATATCATACGATATTAAGAAACATTTAAAATTAAAAATGAATGAATGTATTGTAATTACCATAATTTCAATTTCCAAATATCCAAGTATGATTAATTATTAAATAATAATATTAATTCACGCCCTTGATTCTCTTTACCTTTCATTATGATAAATTTCATTTAGAGAATATTTTCAATCTTCATATTAGGTATTATTTGCAAGTAAATTCTTTTCAGTAATAATTACTCGACATGAACATATATTTCAAAGTAAGTTCCGTTCTAATCAGAATCTAATGAATTATCATGGCAATCTGAACTTATTGAATATAATATTACAATATAAATTTTCATCTGCAATTATTCTTAATTGATAAATTAATTATCATTATGCAGATCAAAGTAGCATTGATTAAAAAAAAAAAAAAAAAAAAAAAAAAAAAAAAAAAAAAAAAAAAGAGATAAAACAATCTTATTTTTATATTGCATAATATAATTATTCTAGCATGAAAATTTTAAACTTATACTTGTATTGTGCATTATCCTTTAAGTTACATTGAAATTAAGTAATTGATAGCCGCTTGAAAAATATATATTTAAACTGCATTTTTTAAGTCTAAATTGTACGAATATTAATCGTTCATAATTGTATGATCTATTGTTCACTACTATTCATACGACTAGAGTAGAGTAGAGCAGCTTCTTTAACAAAAACAAAAAAAAAAAAAAAAAAAAAAAAAAAAAAAAACAAAAAAAAAGGAATATATTACAAAACTGTTTAGTAACTTCTTTATGTAACAATAATTTCCTAGATAAAGACGTAAGATTATTCACAGGGTTTGGTTGTAATTGAACAAGGTATTTATGTATACTTAATCAGTTTTTCGAATATATTATCATGTATTTTGGCTTTACGTTAAGGCACCGAATAATAGGTTAAAAATTACTTGGCTTATTAAATTTATTGTCCATTATAATTTTACGAATAATAGGATTAAATGCTTTTAGTTAGAATAAAACATAGCTTTGTTGCTCTTGCAAAATATATGCCGTTCATTGTTTTTTGACTAAAAACAGAATATTATTTTTAAATTCAAAATTAATTACCACTACCCGTTGGAGTACATTTCCTTGAAAATCCCATCGTCACATCCACCGAGCTCATACAAATATTTTGATACTTTAATTTTGAATCTTTAAAATTGCTTTTAGATAATATGGCAACAAAGAATATTAGATAATAGAATATTTTAAAAGACAGTTGAGTATGCTTTTATATTATCGATCGATCATCTAAGTTAAGCATCTAGTGAAGCATCTCATTTGAAGAAATCTTTTATCACAAAATTTCCAGCTCTCGGCGCCTTGGAACATAATTCGCGCTCATCTGCAGAAAAAGGAAGGGTAATAAAAAGTGCATTTTTCACAGATTCTTTTCGACTCACACGCTTCAGTCTTATCGATCGCGAAGATCATCCGGTTCGTTTTTCGTAATAATTCACAAATGTTTTCCGGCCTCTCATCGCTCTAAAAGAGCGCGTGTGTATATGCGCACAAACTCGTGAACCATCGCCGCATTGTCATCGTTGGCTTTTAACGGCTATAATTTATCGTTTGGCTTATCACGGATGTGCATTTGCCTTCTTCTTTTTTGTGTTTTTCTTCCAGAATTCGTTAAATGCGCCGTGCTCTATTTTTTATTTTTTTTGTTGCACGTATAAAGCGACGCTATAAAGTCCTAATATCTTTAAAGCATCGTTTGGGGAAATTTATGTTTTTTCTTTCATACAACGTTTTGTTTTTAGTTACGACAAATTTTGTCTTCTGTAATGCACGGAAAAATACTTTAT